ATTGTTGGGTGAAGATGGTTGTGATGAGAGTGAGAGACTTTCTGTTTCTGATGTGGATACACTTGAGAGGGGTATGTCCTCCCAAATGTTGATGACCGGGGGAGTAGATGATGAAGAAGTCCCGGAACCCGGTTGCCTCTTAGAAGCTTGGCTTGCTTCCTTAACTTCTTTGCAGTCTTCTCTATCTCCGAATCAATTGGCAATGGCGTACCTGTACGAAAAGATCTAGGCATAAACAATTAGTAACACCGTGTCCCCAGCAACGGCGCCAATTTGTTAGGTGTGTCAAACCCAAAAAATAAAGGGGTACGATCTACTCCAAAATAATCCCACTATATTGCACTAAAAAGGTAGTACAAGGTAAGCAGGGTCGATCCACAGAGACACAGGACAATTAGTCTATACCTCTTTGCACAAGGTATTATAGTCACCAATAGTAAAAAGAGAGGGGGTTTTAGAATGTAATGATTAAACAAATAATTAAAAACATAAGCAGTCAATTAAGTGCGTGAATTAAGTTCAGAATTTGTGAGGACTCCAACCCCATGTATGACAATTTAGCAATGTGACTCCAAGATGACACAATATTCGTTCAATTCTATCTAAGTTGGTACTTGAAAGTGCTAATAAGCTCTAACACTTCCCATTCACCATATTAATTAACCAAAACAAGCTCTTTGATTAATCCTAACCTTATTAACCTAATCTAAACAAGCTCTTAGGATTAGATTATAAGATTGCATGAAGCTTTATGTGAATGTTCCCAACAACACCCAATACTCCTCATAAGCTCGGGAGTGTAAAAGTGTATGAATAAAATTTACACTAAATTCATTCAATAGAGATCAATTTAATGCTTGTTACTTATTCAATTTCACAAAACAATTACGGATTTTGTAAAAGAGATAACTTGAATGACCTAACCCTAATTCAAATGGCCAATAAGAATCATAATTAGAATCAAACATTCGATTGAAGTAAAATCAAATTCATTAAATAGAAATTAAGAACAAACATCATGTCATATGAATGAAGTCACTACCAAGAAGTCAAAACATGAAATTAGAGAAATTAGGGTTCTAGCCACACATGGCTAGAACAAGATCACAAGAATAAAATATGGAATTAAAGTGCAATTACAACTTACAAATACTAGAAATAATGTTTCCAAATGATTGCTAATCAAACCCTTGCAAAAACCTTTGAAAATCCTCCTTCAATGGTGCTCTGTTATGTTCTTCTCCCCTAAAAAATGACCCTTAACCCGTAATATGAAAGATAGGAAAAACTGCCAAAAGTTGGTTTCTGGGTCGAACACGGCCCGTGTTAAAATAGGCTAAACTGACACGGGTCGTGTTCAGCAACACGCCCCGTGTTGGTTTGCACTAAACTGACACGGGTCGTGTTCAGCATGGTCAACAGCTCCCATTTTGGTCAAACACGCCCCGTGCCCACTTTTTAGTGTAAATTCAACACGCCCCGTGTACCTCTCTGACTCCAATTCCAAATTTGATTTTTCCAACTTTTTAGTTCTTCGCCGGATCGTCCCGAAATCTCCACCAATGCTTCCCGACACTTCCCAAAGCGCGTTCCAACCTCCGGTTTACCTGAAAAAGATATAAAAGTGTGCAAATAAGGTTGTTCTAGAGACTAAAATGAATATGATAAAATGCAAGGAAAAGGAAGAACAAATTTGCTAAATATATGCATAAAATGGGACTAAAAGGTGTGCAAAAAGGTGCACAAATAGCACCTAATAGTTCGCGAATTTAGTGGCCTACTCGCCGAGTCCAAGAAGGGACTCGACGAGTAGGAGCTGGCAGATGTAACCCTAAATCTCAAGGATTTGCACCCTATTTAAAGAAA